CCCTGGCTTTGCTATCCGGAGCCAGGCAGAGCCTTCTAGGCAGTTGAAAATTCAGGCACATGGTTTTCACGTGACCCCAGGCCTGGAGAAAGGCCAGTCCGGCAGCCAAGACTCGGGCTGCTCCTAGGCAGGGACCGTCCCAAGTGCCTGGTAGAGACGGGCAGCCTGGCAGAGGGGCCCCCTTCAGCCCTGCCAGTGGGGGCACCATGGCTGGTTTTTCGGGGTCCACTGTGAACCGGACTAACTCCCCCCACTCGCAGGCTCGCCAACAGCCATTGGCTGGGCTGTGTGAGGCACGGAGGGCCCAGAAAACGCCATCGCCACCCGCTGCCCCACTTCCAGCCGGGCCCTGCGCGCATGAAGGGCCTTTGCAAATTGTTTTCTCCCCCTCCCTCCGGGCACAGGTGCAGCAGGGCTGAAGGGGGGGGTCCGGCCCTATGTCTGAGGCACGCCAGGTGCGAGTGGCGGGGGCGTGTAGGGCATGGGGTCCTGGCCCCCTAGCCAGCACCCCTGCGTCAGCCCCGCCGGCTCGCTGTGTCATCCAGGCCCTGCACTGCAAGGCTACACGGACGCAGCATCGCAGGCATGAGCCGACGCCGTGCTGTGTGCAGCTGCGTGCCCGGGGGGCGCACGGCCAGGCGGCTGGACCCACTGTGCTCTTCCAGGGACCCAGGGGGACCAAAGACCACAAAGCATTTTGGGGTTTGCCTTGTCTCTTGAACAAGGCCCCCTCGCTTTGCCCCCTTCCCGCCTCATTCTCTGGACACAGACTAACACTCCGGCTTCCTGCCCCTTGGGGGGGGGGGGGTTAATTCAGTTTGGAAGGTGCACTCAGGTGCCCGGCTGTGTTGTGTTACAAAAGCGAAGCAAGTGCAGGATGGAGCTGGAGGGCGAGGGGGCGGGGAAGAGCAGGGGAACGTACCATTGTGGGGAGGAACAGCAGAGCTGCTGGGTAACACACAGACAGGGCTTTTTTAATGCCTATTGCAGGAAAGAACATTTGCTCCGCACCAAATCGCTCCTCCCCAGCAGCAGATGCTCGGTCATAAGCACCCTGGGCCTCGCCTCCCCTTGCAGCACAGAACTATAGGGCTGGGTGGGACTTTGTGGGCTGGCCCTTCCCCTGCCCTGCGGCAGGACTCAGTAGAACGGTGCATGTGGCTCCTTCGGAGAAAGCGAATAAGGAAAGGTTCTTGACTTGTTCCCAGCACACAAGGACTAGGGATCACCCAATGAAATGAATCGGCAACAGGTTTTAAACCAACCAAAGGAAGTTTTTCTTCACACGGTGCACAGTCAACCTGTGGAACTCCTCGCCAGAGGATGTTGTGCAGGCCAGGACTCCAAAATGGGCAGGGTCAGAGCAGGAGGGCCAATAGCCCTGCGAGACCTGCTGTGGCCCCACGGCTACCAATCTGGGCAGCAGAAGAGTGCAATCTGGGACCACGGCAGCCAAGGAGAGGAAGCTTGGCTGGGGCCACTGCAGCCTGAGAGGTAATGGTGGGGCAGTGGTGGCAGAAGGACTGAGGCTGTGGCTGCAGCAGCCCAGGAGAGAAAGCTGGCCAGGACCACAGCAGCCTGGCAGAATCAGCACGGCTAGGGCCTTGTGCCATCCGGCAGCGGGGCTGGGATTGCTGCAACCTGATTGGGCAGTATGACACCAGGCCAGCAGTAGGGCTGGGGCTGGCCAGCAGACAGCCCAGCCCGGTCAAAGGATCTGGCAATGGGAAGGGGCAGCAGGCTGAGAGGCTGGTGTCAGGGGTCCTCCTGTTGTCCAGAAAATTCCCTCATCCAGGACGGTGAGGTCCCGAGGGTGCTGGCCCAGGGAGGTTAGACCTGCATCTACCACAATGGAGCCAGGACCCTAATTGGGGTTGTTGTGTGCTGCTTTGATATGATTAAATGACATACCGATAAAACAAAGGTATATGATCTGCTCTTAATTTTTTAAAAAATGCTGAAATGCCTTATCTTCTACTTCCTCCCTTACACGAGGAGATGGCTGTGATACT